ATCGGAGCCAACGAGAAATGAAAATATTCTAGATCTGGTCTTTACGAACAATGAAGACATTATCAGAGACATTACGATATCAGATACCACATACTCAGATCACAAACTCATTGAAGTGCAAACGACCATCAATACTCAGAATAGACCTAAAACGTTGATAAAGCGAGAGGGGCTATTCAGTAAATTCAATTTTAATAATAAAAGGATAGACTGGGAGATAATAAACAGGGAACTTACAAACATTCCATGGGGAACTGTTCTAAATAATACAAGTCCTACAGAAGGAATAGAAAAACTTACTTCAGAAGCGTATCAAGTCTGTCTGAAACACGTTCCTTTGAGGAAAGCCAGAAAGAGATCTAACGTAGAAAGAGAACGCAGACGACACTATAAACGCAGGAAAAAAATAACGGAACTGCTTATGCAGACACGAATTTCCCGTCAAAGAAGGAATAATTTAAATAGGGAGATTGAAGAAATCGAGCGGAAATTGAAACACTCATATGAAACTGAAGAAAGGCAGTTAGAACAGAAAGCAATTCAGGAAATAAAGAAAAATCCAAAATATTTATTCTCATATGCGAAATCAAAAGCAAAAACCACTGCCAGTATTGGACCTATTCGTACAAGTGAAGGTTCATACACGGAGGATGACAAAGAAATTAGTGAAATCCTAAAAAAGCAGTATGAGGACATGTTTAGCACTCCAATAAACAACATGAAGGTGGAAGATCCAGACATTTTCTTTATGCGGGATATTCAAACCCCGGTAAATATAACTGATATAAACACGAGCGCACTAAATTTTGAAAAAGAAATTGAAAACATGCCCATGCACTCGGCCCCAGGTCCAGACTCATGGAATTCAATATTTATAAAGAAATGCAAAGTGCCGGTAGCACAGGCACTCAGTATAGTGTGGAGGAAGAGCTTGGACACGGGGGAGATACCAGATGCACTTAAAGTAGCAGACATAGCCCCTCTACACAAGGGAGGGAGCAAAGCATTGGCAAAAAATTATAGACCAGTTGCACTAACATCGCACATCATAAAAGTATTTGAGAGAGTGATTAGGAGTCAGGTCACCAATTTCATGGAGACCAATGACCTTCATAACCCAGGCCAACATGGATTTCGAGCGGGAAGATCGTGCCTCTCACAGCTACTTGAGCACTACGACAAAGTCACTGAGGCATTAGAAGAGAAACAGAATGCTGATGTGATATACACGGACTTCGCAAAGGCCTTCGATAAATGTGACCATGGCGTGATAGCACACAAAATGAAGTCAATGGGAATAACCGGTAAAGTAGGACGCTGGATACTCAGTTTTCTGTCAAACAGGACTCGGCGAGTATCGGTCAACCATATAAAATCTAGTCCAAGTGCAGTGAAAAGCTCTGTACCTCAGGGTACAGTCCTTGCACCACTGCTTGTCCTTATTCTCATATCAGATATAGACAAAAATACAAGTCACAGCTTCGTATCATCCTTTGCAGATGACACAAAAATCAGTATGAAAATTACCTCGGCTGAGGACATTGAAAAACTTCAAGCTGATATTAATAAAGTTTTCGACTGGGCATCAGAAAATAACATGATGTTTAACAGTGATAAATTCCAGGTACTCAGGTACGGTAAAAATGAGGCCCTTAAACATAATACAGAGTACAAAACACAATCAAATGTACCCATAGTAGGAAAACAGCATGTAAAGGATTTGGGAATAATAATGTCTGACGACCTAACGTTTAAGGAGCATAACCAAGCAAATATTGCGACAGCCAGAAAAATGATAGGATGGATTACGAGAACTTTCAAATCCAGGGATCCCATCACAATGGTTGTACTCTTCAAGGCACTTGTGTTGTCCCGTCTTGAGTACTGCTCAGTACTCACTTCCCCCTTCAAAGCAGGAGAGATTGCTGAAATAGAGGGAATACAGAGAACATATACGGCACGCATAGACGCAATAAAGCACCTAAATTATTGGGATCGTCTCAAAGCCCTCCAAATGTACTCACTAGAAAGAAGACGAGAGAGATATCAAATAATATACACCTGGAAGATACTGGAGGGCCAAGTACCAAATCTACACAGTAAAATAACAACGTACTGGAGTGAACGACATGGAAGAAAATGTAGAATAGAACCAATGAAGAGCAGAGGTGCCATAGGCACAATCAGAGAACACTGTATAAACATCAGAGGTCCGCGGTTGTTCAACGTCCTCCCAGCAAGCATAAGAAATATTGCCGGAACAACCGTGGACATTTTCAAGAGGAAACTAGATTTATTCCTCCAAGGAGTGCCGGACCAACCGGGCTGTGGTGGGTATGTGAGCCTGCGGGCCGCTCCAAGCAACAGCCTGGTGGACCAAACTCTCACAAGTCGAGCCTGGCCTCGGGCCGGGCTTGGGGAGTAGAAGAACTCCCAGAACCCCATCAACCAGGTATCAACCAGGTTTCTAGCAGTAAAGGTTCTCTGCACGGTCTCCAGCTCAGCAATTTCTCCAGCTTTGAAAGGGGCTGTCATTGTGCAGCAGTACTCCACTCTAGAGAGCACAAGCGTTTTGATATATATGATATATGCTATAGTGTTAGGTGAGACAGTTAGGAAAACACTATTTGTCAAATATTGATACTGTTCTTAAAAGATTTCCCCATTTTGCACCCGCAAGATAACGTAAGCTTTTAAGGGTTGATAAATGTTAATCTTCTTGTTTGAGGAGCTGTTCACTTGAGACAGTTAAGCAAGTCCCAGCTGTGTCTGGGTACAAGTGACAGGATGAACAACCCAGCGGGTTTTCTTCCTATTGGGGAGTGTTGTACATTCTGCTATGGCGGTATGTTCACTCACAAGATGAGTGGCGCTGCCCAATAAACTCGCCCCTCGGGGCAAAATTTAACAATTTTAATCCTGCCATGCCTTCTGGTCTCATGTGGTGTTATTTCTGTGTGCAGGTTTAGGACCAGCCCCCTCTAATATTTTCCACGTGTAAATTATTATGTATCTCTCCCGCCTGCGCTCAAGAGAATACAAATTTAGGCATTTTAGTCGGTCCCAATAGTTTAGATGTTTCACTGAGTGGATACTAGCAGTAAAGGATCTCTGCACGCTCTCCAGGTCAGTAATTTCTCCAGCTTTGAAAGGTGCTGTCATTGTGCAGCAGTACTCCACTCTAGAGAGCACTGTCACGCCTACACTGTCATGCCCTACACTGACATGCCCTGCACTGTCACGCCCTGCACTGTCAATCCCTACACTGTCACGCCTTACACTGTCATGCCTTACACTGATACTCTACACTGTCACTGTGTACCTGCATGGTGGAATTCAGAAGTTACTGTAGATTGCATCAGGTTGAAATCAGCACACGAAGACTAGCTTCCCACTGAGCAGTGTGGTTGACCACATACCAACCAGGAGACCTGGTCAGAGAGCGGGCCGCGGGGACGTTGATCCCCGGAACCATCGAAAGGTAACTCCAAGGTATGGAGACTCCTCCCTACAGGTAGGGAGGCCCGACCCGGCCTGCGGGCCGCTCCAAGCAACAGCCTGGTGGACCAAACTCTCACAAGTCAAGCCTAGCCTCGGGTCGGGCTTGGGGAGTAGAAGAACTCCCAGAACCCCATCAACCAGGTATCAACCAGGTAACCAAGGTACATGCTCCATACAGTTCCACGTACTCTCTTCCCTGGATTCTCAATGAAGAATCCTGGGTTCGATCCCCGTGGCAGGGCGGGACAAATACATGGTTTCTGTTCTCGACAACGGAAGTGCTTTTTTTTTAACTCCGCGTTCAGAAGACGCTGTGTAAGTAAGCTAAGAATCTGTCAAGGAGAGGCGAGGATGTGCAAGCTTATCCAAGCTCAACCACTTGTTGGGTAAAGTGTAACAGCCTGGAGTGTTGTTAAGGCAACTACCACAGCTAATTGATCAACCCGGAAGTATACTTTTTGGCCCTGACCCCTTGCTTGAAACAAGCATTATGTGTGTGTGTGTGTATATATATATATATATATATATATATATATATATATATATATATATATATATATATATATATATATATATATATATATATATATATATATATATATATATATATATTTATATAATATATTAAAATTGATAACCCACTGTGATGCACTCATTATGATTATTATTTGAGTCGCTACAATTACTCGCTGTTCCCGGCGATTAATTTTATGATCAAGTAAACTGTTGGTCATCGCTTCTTGCAGTCCACAGCCCCGTTGATCAGGTTGAGATGTGTGGGTGACCTCGAGGTCACCCACACATCGTGGGGTCACCCACACACGTTTCTTTTTTTTTTGTACACAGGTGGGTACAGGATCAACACTCCTGTTAGCAGGCTGAGAGCTTTACCTTCCTATAGCTCATGGTAAGCCTTACCCAATAGTGTTCCTGGGATACGACTCGTCAATCCTTTAACAACCCGGTACCCAATCACTGCATGGTGAACAGAGGCGTACAGTTAAAGATTGGCGCCCAGTCAATCCTCCCTGGCCAGGATACGAACCCAGGCCAAATCGCTCGCTAAATGCAAGGCGAGGGTGCTACTACTGCTCCACGGGACAGTCTTTACGGGTGATACATAGGTATGGCATCAATTGTGTATCGTGTGTACTGGGAGCTGTAATTACCTTGTTAAATATTATTTCTTTGTCATGTATTTCTACAACCGCTCCCCCCCCCCCCCCCCCACACACACATACACACACACACCGGCTCAACAAATGTACAGGTTCCTAGGCTCAGGAACCTGTACATTAGTTGATTGACAGTTAAGAGGCGGGACGAGAGCCAGAGCTCTACCCCCGCCATCACAACTAGGTAAGTACACACACACACACTCTCCTGCAGTCAGTCTCTGACCGAAGCCATCACACAAACCCCTGTACATCCGCTCCAGTTACTTTTGTATGTACTATGATGTGTGTATAACTAACATGTATGGTTTGTGTGTATTACAGTCTGGTACCGAGGAGCGGGTTTCGGACATGGAACAGGAGGACAGTCTCGGGCTGATGGGCGGACGAGACAGCCCGCTCAAGCCTGGCGGCGGCTTAACCGAAGGGGAAGACATCCTGGCGAAGCTCCGCCAGCAGGTATCGGCGGCGTCACTCTTCCCGACGAGGGAGGGCGGCATGCTGGGCTCCTCCCCGCCCCCGCCAGGCTCACCCAACAATAATAACAGTATTAATAATGGACACAACCTCTACGACCGCCTCCACACCCTCCTGCAGGCCAAGATGAAGAGGGAGGTACGTGCTCAAGCTGTATTAGATTGTCGTTTATCTTCGGTGTTTTGGCGGGTACGATCGCGGCCCCGCGGAGCGCGATAGGTTTCCTTGTGTCGCGGGATGTGCGCGCTCTTAGGGATTTTAATCTTCCTGACCTTATGTGATAGAATGTTCGCTCTAAGTTTTGTATTTTTTGGGTAATAATCTAGTTGTGTGCGGGGAATATTTTATTGGGTATCATTTTACGGGTGTATTTATGCTATATAAATAGTTGATTGCTGTCAGATGGCTGTCCGTTGAGGTACGATACCTACTCGTTCGTTTTGAATAATGTAACCACTTCTGGGACACCGTGGGCGATGTTGAGCATTATAAGTGTGACTCGTCAATATAGTCAGTGATTTACTAGCTATTGTGAGCGGCTAATGAATATTGCATGCGACTGTAGGTCACTTGTGGTGTGACGTTAGTGTCGCTGTTGGTGGCGGCCGACGGCAACCGTGCGCCCCGCGAGGTCTGACGGAGACGACACGACCCTTAATGACGTTGCAACCCTCCGCCGCCGCTGCACCGTCATGGACCCTGGCGTGACGTGAATGGCTAAAAGATCCGTTCAAATAAATAAACGTACGGATATTGATAGAGGATGAGCGAGGGTGGGTGTTGTGAGCGCTCCGGGAGGGAGGGAGGGAGGGGGGCGTTGGGAGAGGCAGCAGCAGCAGCAGCAGCAGCATCTGGGACCGCTTGATAGGGATGCTAAGCTCGTAAACAACCAATGGCCTTAGTTGTCAGGTGTCCAGATATTGCTTTACGCTCAGTAGTGGGATATTATGTGCAACTTGGTGAATGTTGATCATGCACGTGTGCTACGCCAACCTGGTAGCTGCAGTATTCTAGGTCAAGGATCACGATAGTAAGACATCATTTTGGAATCGTTGTGGATTCATTATATTGCCTGCCTGCCTATTGCCTGCATTATATTCATCGTTGTGACTTCATTATATTGTTACCTGATCACACCCCTTTCCTCCCTATGGACCTCAGGGGGGACCTCTTCCCCTATGGGAGAGGGTGTGGTCAGTTAATGTGATTCAAACGTTAGGCTTTCATACAGTGTGATTCATGCCAGGCTGCGAGCAGCCGCATCCAACAGACTGGTTGATCAGTCAACCAACCTGGAGGTCTGATTGGAGACCGGGCCTCGGGGCCTTTGATCCCCGGAACCTGCACAAGGTAGCCACATGTTTGGTAGGTACCCCCACCCCCCCTGACAATTTTCCCTATACTTGATGACGATTTTAGCTATACATATATGACGTGGCTAATGTAAGCACTTCTGGGACTTGCATCCTTCTCAAGATGCTTTGATTAATACGAAAGTACCTAAGGAATTTCCTATTTAATTTCTTAGTGGTCGACAGTGTCATATTATTCATCACGTGTTAATTTCTTCGTGATTCACACACACACACACACACACACACACACACACACACACACACACACACACACACACACACACACACACACACACACACACACACACACACACACACACACACACACACACACACACACACACACACACACACACACACACACACACACTTGAAATAGACTTAATATTAGGCTGGAGAGGGAATGTACACGACGAGTATGATATACGAGGCTGTCGGCTCAATGTTTGCTGATGATGCAAAAATTATGAGGAGGATTGAAATAGAGGATGATAGACAACTTGTAGGAAGTAATGAAACTAGGCAGTGGAAACAGGAGGCCAAACACAGGATACAGAATAGGAGATGAAGTACTTAATGAAACAGACAGAGAGAAAGATCTAGGAGTTGATATCACACCAAACCTGTCTCCTGAAGCCCACATAAAAAGAATAACGTCTGCGGCATATGCGAGGCTGGCTAACATCAGAACAGCGTTCAGGAACCTGTGTAAGGAATCATTCAGAATCTTGTACACCACATATGTAAGACCAATCCTGGAGTATGCGGCCCCAGCATGGAGCCCGTACCTTGTCAAGCACAAGACGAAGCTGGAAAAAGTTCAAAGGTATGCCACTAGACTAGTCCCAGAACTAAGAGGCATGAGTTACGAGGAAAGGCTGCGGGAAATGCACCTTACGACACTGGAAGACAGAAGAGTAAGGGGAGACATGATCACAACCTACAAAATCCTCAGGGGAATCGACCGGGTAAACAAGGATAAACTATTCAACACTGGTGGTACGCGAACAAGGGGACACAGGTGGAAACTGAGTACCCACATGAGCCACAGGGACGTTAGAAGGAACTTTTTCAGTGTCAGAGTAGTTAACGGATGGAATGCATTAGGCAGTGATGTGGTGGAGGCTGACTCCATACACAGTTTCAAATGTAGATATGATAGAGCCCAGTAGGCTCAGGAATCTGTACACCAGTTGATTGACAGTTGAGAGGCGGGACCAAAGAGCCAAAGCTCAACCCCCGCAAGCACAAATAGGTGAGTACACACACACACACACACACACACACACACACACACACACACACACACACACACACACACACACACACACACACACACACACACACACACACACACACACACACATCAGAACATCATTCAGAAACCTAAGTAAGGAGGCATTTAGGGCGCTTTACACTGCCTACGTAAGGCCAGTCTTAGAGTATGCCGCCTCATCATGGAGTCCCCATCTGAAGAAGCATATAATGAAACTGGAAAAGGTTCAGAGGTTTGCAACGAGACTCGTCCCAGAGCTACGAGGGATGGGGTATGAAGAGCGCCTGAGGGAACTGTGCCTTACGACACTAGAAAGAAGAAGGGAGAGGGGGGACATGATAGGAACGTATAAGATACTCAGAGGAATTGACAGAGTGGACATAGACGAAATGTTCACACGGAATAGTAACAGAACGAGAGGACATGGATGGAAGCTTGAAACTCAGATGAGTCACAGAGATGTTAGGAAGTTTTCTTTTAGCGTGAGAGTAGTGGGGAAATGGAATGCACTTCAGGAACAGGTTGTGGAAGCAAATACTATTCATAATTTTAAAACCAGGTATGATAGGGAAATGGGACAGGAGTCATTGCTGTAAACAACCGATGCTCGAAAGGCGGGATCCAAGAGTCAATGCTCGATCCTGCAGACACAACTAGGTGAGTACACACACTCACGCATGGGGGCCTTGTAGCCTGGTGGATAGCGCGGACTCGTAATTCTGTGGCGCGGGTTCGATTCCCGCACCAGGCAGAAACAAATGGGCACAATTTCTTTCACCCTGAATGCCCCTGTTACCTAGCAGTAAATAGGTACCTTGGAGTTAGTCAGCTGTCACGGGCTGCTTCCTGGTGTGTGTGTATGTGTGTGTGGTGTGGAGGAAATAAAAAAGAAAGTTAGTAAACAGTTGATTGACAGTTGAGAGGCGGGCCGAAAGAACAAAGCTCAACCCCCGCAAACACAACTAGGTGAATACAGGGGTATATATATACCTCGTCAACATATCCATCGTACTACCACAGCGAAACCTAGGACGAGGGTTCTTGAAATAGACTTAATATTAGGCTGGAGAGGGAATGTACACGCACGAGTATGATATACGAGGCTGTCGGCTCCAGTTACCGGCCGTAATAGAGCCCCTCTCTACACCGTCCTGGGAATACGACCCCCACGCCACTCACTCCCTAATATCGGAGTCCCCCCCCCCCACATCTACCGGGCGTTGGTAGGACTGGAAAACACGAAATAATCTGGGATAGGAGAGGGTGAAGGGTGGTGTGGGGAGGGTGGGGAGCAGCTAGGAGATATTGAGATGCGGCTAGGATAGTGAGGTGCGGCTAGGAGATATTGAGGTGCGGGTAGGATAGTGAGGTGCGGCTAGGAGATATTGAGGTGCGGCTAGGAGAGGGTGAGGTGCGGCTAGGAGATATTGAGGTGCGGCTAGGATATATTGAGGTGCGGCTAGGAGAGGGTGAGGTGCGGCTATGAGATATTGAGGTGCGGTTAGGAGAGGGTGAGATGCTACTAGGATAGTGAGGTGCGGCTAGGAGAGGGTGAGGTGTGGCTAGGAGATATTGAGGTGCGGCTAGGAGAGGGTGAGGTGCAGCTATAAGATAGTGAGGTGCGGCTATAAGATAGTGAGGTGCGGCTAGGAGAGGGTGAGGTGCGACTAGGATAGTGAGGTGCGGCTAGGAGAAAGCGAGATGCGGCTAAGAAAGGACCTTAAACATAATACAGGGTACAAAACACAATCAAATGTGCCCATAGTAGGAAAGCAGCATGTAAAGGATTTGGGAATAATGATGTCTGACGATCTAACGTTTTGGGAGCATAACCAAGCAAATATTGCGTCAGCCAGAAAAATGATAGGATGGATTACGAGAACTTTCAAATCCAGGGATCCCATCACAATGATTGTACTCTTCAAGTCACTTGTGTTGTCCCGCCTTGAGTACTGCTCAGTACTCACTTCCCCCTTCAGAGCAGGAGAGATTGCTGAAATAGAGGGAATACAGAGAACATATACGGCACGCATAGACGAGATAAAGCACCTAAATTATTGGGATCGTCTCAAAGCCCTCCAAATGTACTCACAAGAAAGAAGACGACAGAGATATCAAATAATATACACATGGAAAATACTGGAGGGCCAAGTCCCAAATCTACACAGTAAAATAACAACGTACTGGAGTGAACGATATGGAAGAAAATGTAGAATAGAACCAGTGAAGAGCAGAGGTGCCACAGGCACAATCAGAGAAAACAACTTCAGAGGTCCGCGGTTGTTCAACGTCCTCCCAGCGAGTATAAGAAATATTGCCGGAACAACCGTAGACATCTTCAAGAGAAAACTAGATAATTTTCTCCAAGGAGTGCCGGACCAACCGGGCTGTGGTGAGTATGTGGGCCTACGGGCCGCTCCAAGCAACAGCCTGGTGGACCAAACTCTCACAAGTCAAGCCAGGCCTCGTGCCTGGCTTGGGGAGTAGAAGAACTCCCAGAACCCCGA